GGGCCCCAAATGCTAGTAGTGCTGAGGGGAATCGAACTGATTTTACCTGAGGATAAAAGAACCAGGCAGGGGATGAGTAACCAGAAAACCAGACAGGGCCCACCTGACCTGCCTGCAGGGTGGCCGGCCAGCCCGTGGGCCTGGTTCACCTGATTTTCCAGGATTGCTTGGGTCAGGGAGCCAGGGAGCTGTCCTTTCCACCCCATGTAAGCATGGCCAACTTCTTCTTGGCCCAATCTCGTCATTTTCCACGGCCCGCACCCTTCGTGTGCATACAGGAGGCAGCCTGCCACCCCTACCTCTTCCGGCATGACAGCAATGCAAGAAATGTGCGCTGGGAGGGCCAGTTCACTACCCCATGGGTCCCCGAGGGCTGGGTGTGAGTGTGAGTGCGTCTGCCAGAGACTGTCGGGGCTCTGGCCTCCTGGTTCCTGGTGGAAGGTTTGGTTTGTTCTCCTCACTCAGTATGCTAGTCTGGGTACATCAGAGAAACAAATCCACAGAAGCTCATGTATAAGAGAGAGTTTTATATAAAGGGTAAGTGCATATCAAGAAAACATCCCAACGCAGTGCTGCCCAAGCCCACACGTCCAACATTAACCCATATGTCCGACACCAATCCACAAAGTCCTCCTCCATCTCATAAAACACACACTATGATGCCGACTGCAGGAGGAAAGCTGAATCAGTGAATGTGTAAGCTATCTCAGTGCTGGCAGGGGTCTCCACGTGGCTGCTCCAGCACCCAGGGCTGCATCAGGGTAGGTCCATGTGGCTTCTCCTCAGGGATGTTTTTCAGGAAGTGAGCCTTGCCAGCTGAAGCAGGGAACTGGCTAAGGCAGCTGCACCCTGATCTGACCATCAGAAAGCAAGAAACCCGAGAACTCGAAAGGCGAGGATCACCGAGCCATTTATCTCTCTGCCCTTCAATTAACCCACATGTGTTTATTGGTTAGGTTGGCACACTAAACTTTAGCTTTCTCACTCAGTAGTTTCTGAGACTATTTCCCTTCTCAACAAACTCCACTATCAAAGCAAAACAAAATCCAAAACCAAAGAAGACACCATTAAACAGCAGCCCCCCAAACAATGCTTTGGAGTCCTATGCAACTCAGTAACTGAAGACTTCCCTGTGTGGCCAGCCCCTGTGCTTAGAGGGCTGGGGTCAGAGATGCTCCACTTGGATGCTTAAAGCCCCCACTGAGGAAACACGAGAACCAGATCCCTACGCCCTGCCATTTAGCCCCTTCTCCTGATGTCATACAGACTCACGATGACCTCATGTACGAATAAAACGTCACCGTGCGACACCATCCTCACCATCGGGAGCACGTCCAAGTCTTCATGGGGCCCTCGTGCCAGCTCACCTCGCGAGCGAGCGTCTCTCTAGCCTTCGCAGGCCCTGTGCTTCGCCAAGCACGCGGTCTTCTTCCAGAGATGGGGCCCTTCTGTGGCCAAAGCCAACGGTCCGACAACATTCTTCTGTGATTCATAAGGCTTTCTTGGTTACATTTTGGGACGCCGAGTGCCAGCCTTTCTTCCTAGTCTGCTTCCGTCTGCAAGCTCCCCTTTGGAACCTGCCCACTCTGGGGGGTCCTGCTGGTATTTGAAATACCAGTGGCATACCAGCCAGGATCATAGCAATACAGAAACACACCCCCACCCCCGCCCCTGCCCCAGCATGACAAAATGACACCACTGTGGTCTTCATCTTCTGGAAAGGCAGCTCTGATCACCTCCCTCTCTGGCTCAGAGATCTCCCATGGCTCCCATTCCACTCGGAGCTAGCTGCCTCTTGGAAGCCTCTGGAATCCGACCTGGCCTCCGTTCCGACCTCAGTTCCCGCCATGCCGGTGCTGGATGCTTTTTCTTTTCTCTTTTTAAAAAATCATTTTATTGGGGGCTCATACAAGTCTTATCACAATCCATACATGCATCCATTGTCCAGTTGCCTACAGATGGGCTTTGGGTCTCTACTCTGCACTCCCCTTTATTCACTATGATAAGATTTTTTGTTCTTTGATGCCTGATACCTGATCCCTTCGACACCTCGTGATCACGCAGGCTGGTGTGCTTCTTCCATGTGGGCTTTGTTGCTTCTTCGCTAGATGGTCCCTTGTTTTGCTTCAAGCTTTTAAGACCCCAGACGTTATATTGACGTCTTTCTTTTCCAACTAGCCTTTTCTCTCTTCCTGGCTGACAGGCCAGCGTTGGCCCCTGTGAGAATGCCCTCTGTGGGCAATCCGACCAAGTGAGATGGCTCTGCCATCCTGTCACCTCATCTCCCCTCTCTCTGCTTGCTTAGAAAAAGACCATTGTGGTGAAATACATACCTGGCAAAACATTTGCCATGTCAGCATTCATTACCTGCACAACCCAGTGACATTGTTTGTCGTTTTGTTCACCATCGCCACTGCCCTTTCCCCAAAAGCCCCATCACCTTTAATGGAAACTGGAGCCCTGGGGTGGCCCAGGTGCTTACGTGCTCAGCTCCTGCCTAAAAGACTGGCAGCTCAAATCCTCCCAAAGGGCACCTCAGAGGAAAAGTGTGGTGGTCTACTTTCCACATCGCACACCTGTTGGCAGCCCGGGGGGCTCGGTTCTCCTCTGGCCCGGAGGTGACTCGATGCAATGGATTCGGATGATTTGGATCTTCCCAGATGCTCAATGGACATTCTTCTCTGCTGGAATGCAGTAGAAGAGCTCAGGCCTCTTCTATTTGAAGCATGTAGGTCTTTTGTCTTCTGTCCAGCTAAGCCACATACTCATCCCCGGATTAACAACGCAAACCCGAATGCACCGTCTCGTGTTGGGGACAGAGCCAGCTTCCTGGAAGAACTTGGCTGGAGGAATGAATGCAGGGCCAAGTTCATGGCTTTCAGGGAGCAGGCAGAGTAAGAATGAATATTGGGGATGGACTCAGCTGGGTCTGTTTCAGAGAACAAAGGCTTGGAGAGTTTGGCGATATGGCATAGTAACAGACTGGATTGAGGAGGAAGGATTTTTGGAAAGTGTCAAAGATACCCTGAGGATTTTGAGACATCATGTGTGCCTAGGGAGGTAGGATTCCATTGGCCGCTACCCAGGCAGTGAGGGAAAGTTCAGAGGCTCACTTTCAGATAGTTTAGAGTTTGCTATCTGATAAGGCACCACTCAGATGGTTTGAGGCTCTGACCTTGGGCCCAAGGTCACATAGGACAGGTCTGGGAGAGAGGCTAGAGGGGGGTGGCGCGATGATGGGCAGCCGTTCGCAGATACAAAGCTGCTAAGTCCGAGTGCATGCAAGCCAGCTGGGGCCGGGGCGGAGGAGGCCGGCTGGGTCCCGAAGGCAGGGTCCTTTTCAGCAGACCTGCGTCCAGGAATTCATCTGCCAGTGTCCTGCCCACGTGGACAGTGCACAGTGACCAGGAACAGCAGTGCTCACTGTGCGATGATTTTTTTAAATCGTTTTATTGGGGGGCTCATACAGCTCTTATCACCGAGGATCACCGAGCCATTTATCTCTCTGCCCTT